AACGACCAGCACCGGGGCCCGCACGGCCGGGGAGCCACAGAGGGTCAGCACGAATCGCACGGTGCTCCAGACCCGGAGGCAAATGAAGATGACCGGGATGAGGACCAGCTTCTTATCCGCCATGGAGCTGTGGTGCTGCAGCCGGTGCGCCTCGGACAGGATGGGCCGATACTCGGAGAGCGCCTGGTGCTGTGCAGGGAATACCCAGAGCGGCGTGAGCAGGACGGATGCCCGCAGCTGTCCAGGGTCTGCCGTCCTCCAGGTCTCAGAATCGCAGGAGAGGGAGCAGTGAGGCGTGGAGCGCCTTCCCCCTGCCCAGGCTCCATCACCAGCTTCCCCTGCACACTGGAGCCGGGCTCCATCACCAGCTTCCCTCTGCATGAGCCCCCGATTCCCATCACTAGCTCCCACCTGCCACTGGAGCCCAGGTTCCCATCACCAGCTTCCCCCTGCATGAGCCCCCGATTCCCATCACTAGCTCCCACCTGCCACTGGAGCCCAGGTTCCCATCACCAGCTTCCCCCTGCATGAGCCCCCGATTCCCATCACTAGCTCCCACCTGCCACTGGAGCCCAGGTTCCCATCACCAGCTTCCCCCTGCATGAGCCCCCGATTCCCATCACTAGCTCCCACCTGCCACTGGAGCCCAGGTTCCCATCACAAGCCCAGATCCTTCTGAACTCCCGTCTCCTCGGTCCACAGCCTGTGCCACACCTCCATGTGGGTGTCTCACACACGAGGATCAGCCCAGTGGTCCCAGACCTCCTGCCATTACAGGAAGGGCAGGGAGGAAGAGAGACACAGAGGGCAGCTCTGGGGGGCGCCCTGGGCAGGGCCTGGTGGAGCTCTGGGAGCCCGGAGCCCTCCTAGGGCAGTGGAAACGAGGAGGTGGGAGGGCACCCCCTGCCCAGGCCAGAACACAAAGAGGGCTTCAGACCAGCGGGCAAGACCTGCAGGCCTCTCTCCAGCTGAGAGAGCTGGAGAAACGGGGCAGGAGGGACGAGAGCCCGGTCTGTTCAGAGTAAAATGAGGAGTCTCCACGCAGGTGGGAACCCAGGGTGAGGACCAGGGGTCACACAGCTGCCGGGAGCACCCCCCAAACCCAGAAATGGCTGCTGGGGCACCGTCTGCCCTGAGCGGCAGGGAGTCCAGCCACGAACACTCAGACACCCGCAGAGGGAGCCGGGAAGGAGGCCATATTCGGAGCTTCACGGGCACCTGCCTCTCTGCTCTGGCCACTGGTCACCGCCCATCTTTTACCGTAATGACTCACACCCTGCCTCTCTGCTCTGGCCACTGGTCACCACCCATCTTTTACCGTAACGACTCACACCCTGCCTCTCTCTCGGACAGGATCCCCGTCTGGGTTCTCAGGGTGACCTCCCACCGCACACAGCGGTTTGGAAAGTAGATGCTCAATAAAAGTGCATTGAACGCGCGGCCGAGCCGGCGGGCGGGCAAGTGACTGAGGCCTTTCCTGGCGGCAGTTTGCCCGTGGCCAGGAGGAAGCCCACCCCTCACACTTGCAGAACCAGCAGTTACGCACAAGGAGCCGCTTGGCCAGCCTGGCAGAGGGAAACCGTTCTTCCCTAGAATCTGCGGCCAGCCCTCGTGGTCAGAAGTCTCTGAGACGTCGCCAGCCGGCCGGGCGTGTTGATTTATGGGCTCCTGGGTGCCTGGAAAGCAGACCAGCTGTGACGTAACCCGAATCCTCAAGGATAATGAGGTGAGTTATCAGTTCACTATGGTGAGATCCGTGGGCCCCCCTTCCAGTTCACTTACTCGGATACCACTCACTTTCATCTACATTCCTCTCCCGTTGAGCCACCACGGTGGGCTGTCCAGGAGGGGGCATTAGAGGGCTGTGGCCGGGCACCCAGGCTGGCGCTCTCTCCTTGGGAGCTGAGTGGGATTGGGGAGCCCTTCACCTCTGTAAACTCCCCTTTCCTCATCCACAAACGAGGAGTCACAGGACCCGCTCCTGACAGGACTGTGTAGTCAGCAAACCAGACAACCCGTGATGTGTGTAATTCACGGTGACCGACGCCTCCCAAGCTCTCCATTACTAGTTTCTTTGTTGTTGTGAATCCTCACACGAGGATATTTTTCCATTGATTTTTAGACAGAGTGGAAGGGAGAGGGAGAGACAGAGAGAAATATCGGTGTGAGAGAGACACATTGACTGGTTGTCTCCTGCATGCACCCCGACCAGGACCAGGGAACCTACAACCAGGCATGTGCCCTTGACTGGAATCAAACCCAGGACCCTTCAGTCCGCGGGCCAGCGCTCTATCCACTGAGCCAAACCGGCTAGGGCTCCCCATTACTAGTTCTGTCCCCTAAGGTGGCCGAGCCCAACGCCAGAACTCAGGGGCAGGCCCGCAGCGGGCGCAGTGGCCACATGGCGCTCTGGGCGGGGCCGCGGGTGAGCCGGCGCAGGCACCTACCGCCCTGTTTATGTGCTTCCGGATGAGGAGGTAGAGCACGGGCAGCATCACGTAGGCCAGGAGCTCCCACAGCTTCCCGGTCAGCAGCATCCACAGGACACGGTCCTTCGCCTCCAGGTCGATCCAGCACCAGCCCACGGACACGTCCGAGGCGTCGTAGCCGATCTTCTTTAGGATGACAGCTGCCACGGTGATGGCCAGTGGGACCCCCCAGCTGAGGAATAAGGAGCAAACGGCCACAGATCAGGCCCCGGCTCCCAGCACAGCCAGCCAGGGGGGAATGACCGGATGCTCTCCAGACAAGGACAACCACACTCCCCGAGTGTCCCGGGAGAAAAGGTGGGTAAGAGTCCTCAAAGCCCCAGTCCAGCCCTGCTCTGCCCACCCCAATGCCTAACAGCCAGCCCCTGACCAGCCTGGGTCCAGGGTGCACACACTGATGGCTTGGGGTTGCCTGGGCAGGGAGGGCCAGGGTCCGGTACCTGCAGCAGGGTCTGGAAGGGGATCTGGGCTTTGGGGGGACACATCTCCCAGGTCCTGGGGGCTCTTGGGGGGGTGAGTGCCCAGCAAGGGTTGAAGGGGCCTCTAAGGAGCCAGGGCAGCGCCAGGCTCACTTTTCTGGAGCTGAGTTACTATCCCCACAGCCACGCGGCCGGGACCCCGAGCCTGAGGCCCTTCCCAGCAGTCCCCATGCCAGTTCCCACTGTGTCCATGCCCCCAACAGGGGAGGCAGCAAGGAGCGTGCCCTCCTAGCAGTCACAAAGGCACAGAAGGGGCAAAGCCCCACAAAAGTTAAAGGGAATGACAAAGGTATCAGGGAGTTTGTCCATTTTAAATGCTTGTTCTATGCCAAGTTATTTACCTGGTAAGTTAATATACAGGGTGGGGCAAAAGTAGATTTATAGTTATTCTTATGGAAAAAAAATAATATAATAAACCAATATAATAAAAGCCCAGTGACCGAAATAGCAGAATGACCAGAATGGACTAGAGACCAGAACTACCAGCCCGTTGCCCAGACCAGCTCCCCGCCCCAGCGGGGACCCCCACCCCAATCCATGGCCCCATCAGGACAGGCCAGCCGGCCCCCACCCGTGCACCAGGCCTCTATCCTATATAATAAAAGGGTAATATGCAAATTTACCCTAATGGTGGAATGATCAGAACAACTGCTGGACCAGTCACTATGAGGCGCACTGACCACCTCTCAGTCCCTTTCCTGGCCGGCAGGCTACAATCGCCTGAAGGTGAACAGGGAACCAGGGTTGGGTGGCGGAGGACACGGGTGAAGGCCCCCGCCCTGCTGGTTGCCCCACACACAGAGGGGGACCTGCAGTGAGGGCAGGGCTGGCGAGTGGGCAGACAGGGAAGATGGTAATGATCGCAGGCCAGGCCTATGGTCTGAACCCACACACGAATTTCGTGCACCGGGCCTCTAGTTAATAAATAATACAAGAATAAAATGTTTCGCATACTCACAGCTGTAAACCCATTTCTGCCCTCCCCCCAATGTATTAGTGTCAAACTGTTTTGTCGTAAGAAAGGGTTACCTTTTAAAAACTCATGCCACCCTGGGATTTTAGGACATGTCACCGCTAAGAGCCCATGAGGGCGAGGGCTGTGTTGGTTCACTATTGTGTCACTGGATAGGGGCAAAAGAATGGGCTGCTGAATGAATGAAGGAGTAAATGAACTTTAAGCCAAGTGACCAAGAGCTTGCCCCAATCCGCTGCTTAAATGTTCACGGCACGCACAGTATTGAAAAGGAAGTAAAAGGCTTTTAAAGTTGCTAAAACCACAATCCTGTAGTTATATGTGTGGTTTCTCATCACGTCATGGGTTACAGGGCTCCTCCAAGGAATTCTGGGAAGGGAAAAGTACCGTGTGTAGGGCGGTCACCAAGATGGAAGCTGGGCTGGAGCGGAGGATCCCCAGTCTGGCTGGAAGGAGGAGCCGAGGAGGCACAGGCCGAGGTGCTCCCCCACAGGCGGTGTGGGGATCCTTTCCCCCTGCTCCCCGGGTCCTGCGGGCCCTTACCGGAGGCTTGGGGACCACACGGTGACAGACCACATTCTGAGGCTGTAGGTGTGTCCCGCTAGAGCTCCACAGGGGTGCGTTTCGTCTAGGTTACTGGGGTGTGTGGGAGCCGAGTATGTGATGGGAATTGCCAGAGAGAAGACCAAAGAGGCAGACGGAAGGCTCTGAAAGGATTAAGGAGGGTTGATCAATGGGGTCAGAAGCTGTTGGGGGAGGTATTTCAGGGGCAGGTGGTAAGAAGAGGCAAGACCAGGGAGCCGTGGGAATGGAGTGGGAGGGACTGTCTCCTCATCCGAGACAGAGCAGGCTCCACCAGTGTCAGCGTCAGGCTCTCCGGGAAAATGCATGTGTGTGCGTGTGTGTAAACGTGCACATATAACATTATTGTATAATGTGCTGGTATAAGAGGTGGGAAGCACGACTTATAAGGAATAATACACAAAACCCCTCGTGGTAAATGCCATGCGTGGCCAACTGAACCTCACAGAGCGCTTTTGTTGGTTTTCACCCAACGCTGGTGTCCGCAGCCACTCACTCCACGGCCGCAATTAGCAAAGACGGTGTCTCTGGGATGTGAGGCTGGTTGATGTCCTGGTTGAGAGGAAAGTGAAAGCAGGAAGACAAGGGAAGACGGATGCCAGACGCGACTGCTCAGACAGCAACGTGAGCAAGTTCTCGGTGGGAACACAGAGTTTCCAGCACTGGAGGAGCATTTCTCCTTCCTTCTTGCTTGTGACACTTCTCATCCTCTCCCCCTGAAACGCCCGGCTTCCTGCCTGCACCCCCTCCCGTGGCTGCCATCTCTGCTTAGGTTCAGAGACAAGGAACACTTTTAAGCTTAATATTTACTGATTAATGGATTCTCCACCACTTTCTTTCATGCAGATCAGGGGTCCAGCAAACTATGGCCCTCAGACCGAATCCGGCCCAAAGTCTGGTTGTTGTTTTTTTAAATAAAGTTTTATTGTAACACAACCACACTCATGTGTTTGCATATTATTTACAGCAACAGCATTGCTGGGCAGCTGCAACTGAGATCACATGGCCCGTGAAGCTGAAAGCACTTACTACCTGGTCCTTTACAGGCCCAGTCTGCTGACCTCTGCCCTACACGACCAACAAAACGATATATCAAGCCCCGACTTGCAGTGTTTGCCGATTGCCAAGGTGTAAATATTCCCAGCAGGGCCAAGTTCAAGCCAGCACACCATCAGTGCACAGCAACCTCAAGTGCACAGACCAAAGTGAAATGCAGTGAAATAATTAGGGCATAATCAATGTTGAATTATTTTTATGACTTCTGTTTTTAATACCTTAATTAATTTTACTTTTGAATAATCACTTAATTTTAGGTTTGCATGATCTAATTTTCAATAATGGCTGTATGTAACCATCAGCTCACAAAGTGCCCTCAAATGTAACCACCGGGTCTCAGCAGCCGGCGGCAGGACACACGTATGGACAGGAAGCCGGGGACACGGAGCTGAAGAGGCCCCAACCGCCCCGAGGTCACGTGAACCGGAAGAGCAGATGCCCCGTCCGCCTGGAGGTCACGTGAACCGGAAGAGAAGAGGCCCCATCCGCCCGGAGGTCACGTGAACCGGAAGGCACTCCACAGAAACGAGTGTGACACAGTCCTGCTTTCCGGCAGCGTGCACTTGCGATTTCTGACATGTACCACCTAACAGTTCTTTATTTCTCCACAAAAAGGGACGCATCCACCAAACAATAAACACCAGAGCAAGGGAGGCATAGCTTCCGACCAGCACGTGGGAAAGGACCAAGGGCATTAGTTGGTTTTGACCTAAAAACCCGTGGCGGGAGGCTGCCCTGATGCTCCGAGGCCTCCGGGAGGTTCAGAACGGCCAGCGAACGATCCTGCCTCCGCGCCCACCTGCGACCCGCATTTGAACCCTGAGGTTGTGACGCTGGTGCCAGAGCTGGGCGCGGAAGGAGAAGGCGCAGAAGGCACAGGCCATGTGCAGGGGATGCAGAGAAAGGCGCTGGGGGTGGGGGATGGCTAAAGCCCGTGACCGATGAGGCTCCTTCTCTCCAAACCCATGACTCAGGCGGAGGGGAAGCAGGGCTGGTCACCTGGATGGAAGGAGCCTGAAGACCACCCTGAGCAGAATCCCCATGTGGAGGGGCACCGACAGCCTCCCCCAGAGGTGCCTGGGCGCCAGCTCTCTTGTGTTTGCCTCAAAACTGAGGTCCAAGTCCAAGTAAGCAGCCCACTCCCCACCCCCGCCCCCCAAGGCTGTTATGGGCTGAGCTGTGTCACCCCAGAACTCTGTTGAAGAGCTAAGCACCAGGACCTCAGGAGGTGGCTGTGGTTGGAGAGAGGGTCTTTAAAGAGGTTAAAGGAGCCAATCTGACTAGTGTCCTTACAAGAAGAGGAGAGAGGACCCAGACAGGCAGAGGGACCCAGACAGCACATACAGACAGCCATCTGCCAGTGAGGACAGAGGCCTCGAGGCAAACCCCACTGCACACCATCTCACTTCCAGCCGCCAGGACTGTGGGACATTTTTGCTGTTTAAGCCTCTCTGTCTGGGGCACTTGGTTAGGTAAGGACCCAGGACACTGATACAGAGGGTTCCTGCAAACTACGGGGACAGAGACAGACTCTGGGGCGCAGTCATATCCTGGGGACCCCACCTCCAGAGGAGAAGGAATGGATGGGAAATACCCTACCCTCCCTCCCACAGCCCCCCCCCCCGCGGGGGGGTTGGGCAGGGGGCGTGAACTGGCCAAAGGCATTCAGATCTGTTGGGAGGAGCTTAGCTCTCCTTAGAACTGGCGTCCTTTTTGTTTTCCAGTCTCCTGGGGAAGTGGAACTAGATGAGCCAGGTGGGGATCAGCCGTCCCCCAGTCCCTGGCTGGCGTCCCCCAGTCCCTGGCATTTGTCAGCCGACCTGCAGGCGCCTGTCCCAGAACAGCGAGTGCCCTGGGCTTCCCTCCGAGTTCCCAGCTCTGCCCAGGGGAGACCTTCCCAAACCTTGGCCACCAGAGTCAGGGTGGGGACACCTGGGGCGACCGAGAGCCACTTCCACTTTCCTTCACAGGCAATGGGGTCCCCGCCCCCTGCTCTAAGGGACAGCCTGCAGGGGCTCAAGGTCGCTCAATGGCTGGCCCCACTGCTGAGCTCCGGCCCTGCTCCCTCCACCCAGGCCTCACCCTCCCACAGACCCTGCGGGGCGGGAGGTGGCTGGGAGGGAAACAAAGGGGCCTTCTCCCCTCCGTGGGCCAGTCGGCCTCGTGCTGCCAGCCTGTGGGAGCCTTGAATGTTAACATAACTCAAAAAGCGCTTTGAGAGCGAAACCATGAGGCAATGCGGGGGGCGGGCAAAGGGAGACGCAGCTGCAGTGGGAGGCCAGGGAGAGGGGTCACAGGGCCATGCGCCTCGAGGTCTCTTTGGGGAACAATGGGCACTAATTGTTACTGTGGAGCCAGGGGTGGGACATGGGAGAGGGTCAGGGCGCTGCGGCCA